TCTCTGATGTAGATCAGTTGTTAGAGTGCTTGCCTAGCAAACATGAAGCCCCAGTCTCAATCCCCCAATACCATATAAATGGGGTATGCCAGGGTATACCTGTAATTCCAGCACTCAGGAGATGGAGGCAGGAGGATCAGAAGTTCTAGATCCTCCTTGACTACATGAGTTTGAGGCCAGTTTGGGCTACTTAAAACCTTGTCTTTGAAAAAAAATTGAGAAAACTGAGGGATATACTTGTAATTTTAGCACTGGTGAGTGTGTGTGTGTGTGTGTGTGTGTGTGCGTTTATGTGTGTTGTGTATGTGTGTGTATAGGTAGGAAGATATGGAGCTCAAGGTCATCCTCAGCTACATATATCAAGTTTGAGGCGAGCCTAAGCTACATGAATCCTTGTTTCAAAACAAACCAACAGATTTTTGGGGACCAAACATGGTGGCACAGACATATATAATTTAAGCACTTGAGGGCTAAGAAAGGAAAATCATGAGTTTGGGGCTAGCTTGGACTACAAAGGTTTCCCTGGCAATAAAACAAACGAACACACACACAAACCCCAAAGGCTTTGGGAATAATTGGGGGAACTTAAGAACTCAGACTAGTTATCAGGTAACACCAGCAAATTTCTCTGTTTAGGTCATGTTGATAATAAAGAATATCTTTTAATAAATACATTTCAGGGCTAGAGAAATGGTTTGGTGGTCAAAAGCACTAGCTGCTCTTGCAGAGAACTCAGGTTGGATTTCCAGCACCCACATGGTTGCTAACAGTCACCTGTAACTCCAGTTCCAGGGAATTTTGGCAATAAGCACATACCTGGTGTACATACATACATGCAGGCAAAATTCTCACACACATTAAAAAAATCTTAGCAGTTAGGAGAGTTTACTGCTCTTCCAGAGAATCTAGAGTTTGATTCCCAGCACCCAGATCAGGTGGTTACCAAATGCTTATAACTCCAGCCTTAGGGGATCTGTGATCTCTGGCCTTTGAGGGCACCTGCACTCATATGCACATACATACACACAGACATACACTTAAAAAGCTGAAAAAACTGGAAGGTTTCATTATATATGGACAGACAGACAAGACAGTTTAAGATTTCTCTCAAGTGTCTATATCACTTGGATATCTACGAAATTGCATTTAGTTCTTTTATAATACTTTTTTTTGTGTTTAAAAACTATTACTATTTATTTTTTTTGTCTTTTTGAGACAGGGTCTCCCTGTAGCCCCAGCTGTCCTGGATTCACTATGGAGACCTGGCTGGCCTCGAACTCACAGAGATCCACCTGCCTCTGCATCCCAAGTGCTAGGATTAAAGGCGTGCACCACCATACCCAGTGTTTTAAAATTAAAAATAAAATTTTTAATGTGTTAAGTGTTTTGCCTGCATGTAAATGCATCTGTGTTGTGTAGGGCCCAGAAGGCCCAAAGAGGACATAGGATCCTCTGGAAGTGAAGTTATAGATGACTGGTCGCCACCATGTGGATGCTAGGAACAGAACCTGGGTCTCATCTGCAAGAGCAGTCAGAGCACTTAGTGGCTGGGCCAGCTCTCCAGCCCCACTTTTGGCTTTTTGTTTTTTGTTTTTTTAATTTTTGAAGACAGGGTCTCATTATGTAGCCTGGCTGGCTTGGAACTTACTATGTACACCAAGCTGGCCTTGAACTCACAGAGATAAGGCCAGCAAAAAAAATACTCTTCATATTTAGAGTTGAAAAGTTTTGACACCTAGAACTTACTTTCAAATGTTCTAGAGAAAGTAAGACAGAAAATATGGGAGATTTTAAATTGATGAATTTCTGTTTCTCTTTTTTTTTAATGTTTGAAAATTGTCACAAAAAGTGGCATTTTGGAAAAGTAAGGCATGCTGAATAAAGTAAATCAAACGAGAAACCAGGCAAGCTGTAATGAGGTCTCTTCATCTTTGAACCTGAAAAGCCTAGCATAATGTTGACAATTAGGAGGAAAAAGAATGAGTAAAATAGAGATGGTATTCAGGATTACTGGTAAGGCAAAGAAAGATGACTATAGGATCACGGTTGAACAGTGACTGAGAATTCCACGTGTTTTCTCAGAAAGGTGGCTAGGCTTATTGAATTTTGAAGATCAGTGTAAGAAATGTTTCAAAAGTAGGGATTCCACACTGATCTAACTTCCCCCCAAACAACAGATATGGAGGCTGAGAACAGGCCAGGGTTAGGATCACTTACCTCAGACGCTTTCAGAAGGCCAGCAGAAGCATAGTAGTTTGCTACAACGCAGGCTCGAAGCTTATCCATCATCCTTCTTGCCTCAATCAGTCGCTTAAAAATACAGAAAATAAATGAGCTCAGCTTCTCTAATCATCAAATAAAAACTAATAAAAATGATACTTCTCTAACACTAAAGGCCTTTAGGAAAAGCCAGATGAAAACCTACCACTGTAGACAGCTTCTTAAGTGTATACAAATACATTATAAAAAGAGACTAAAAGGAGTTACCTTATAGCAGGGGGACAGTGCCCTTTCTAGATACCATAGGCTAATGAAAAAAAAAGAAAACCTCATTGCCAGGAATGGACTCCCTCTCTACAAGCTGTTGACCAGGGGTCCCATGGACCCTTAAACAATACTGGCCACAGCCCCTGTTCTTGGTTACCCACCAGAACTGGATGGTAAGACCCTACTGCTAAACATTACATAAATTAACTGTAGAACAAACAAGGAGAAATCAAGATGGTGCTGACTTCAGAGCCTCATGTATACCGACTGCGCTTACAGTGTTGGAAGATGCTATGCATGCTATTAGAAGGAAAAAATAATCATCCTTATCCAGCTGTGAATCCTGTGAACTGGCTGGACAAGATATGCCCACTGGTGCAATAGTGGCACAAATATTATGAGAGTAACCAACCAATCTCTAATTGGATTTAAAGTTGGCTTCATAGGATGGAGCCCATACATGACAGTGATTGATATCGGGCTTAAGAATTGGGACTAGACAGGTGACAGAATATAGGGGAGAACCTAATACTAATCTGCACTAAACAGTTACCATATTAAACTGATTCCTAATGACTTATTCTTATATCCATAGATTAATGCATCTCTCAACTCTCACCAGAATTCCATCTTTGGGGATGGAATTTCAAGCAGAATTTTTTCTCTTTATTGTTTCTACAATTTCATTTATTTATTTATTGTGGCTTTTTTAGACAAAGACTCAAACTCATTACAAGGATGACCTTAAACTCATCTGAGGATGACCTTAAACTTCTGATCTTCCTCTTCCATCTCCCAAGTGCTGGAATTATAGGTGAGTACCTATAATTCAGCAGGAAAAATTTTAAAACTTCATCAAACATACACTCTTTTCCCTCCATAGATTTAGTATTTTTTTTCAATGCATTATCATTATACCTGGTCAGTGACTTCAATTTCATGTTCCTTATTCTTCATTTCAAGAGCAAACTGTTCCTTAATAATAGTCTCAATTTTCTGCACAGCAGCATCTCGAGCTACATGAAGAACACAAAACATACCTAGTTAATCAGTGGCTATCTTGATTTAAATCCGCAACCAAAGAAACCTGAGAAACAGGAACCCTGAAGTTGAGACCAAGTGGGTATCACCTTAACAAATACGGAAAATTAAAACCACCAATATTAGGGCAAACTAGTCTCATGAGCTTTGTGACACGATGCACTAAGATGACTACAATACTGAGTGATGTTTCTGCCTCAAATGCTGAATCCACTTACAATGAAACATCAGACCAAAGCAAACTGAAGGACATCCTGCAATTATCAATAGCCTGTACCACTCAAATATTTCAGTAAAATAAGACAAGGGAGGCTGAAGAGACTGAAACTGAAGATCTAAGAAAGCTCCATTCCCTGTGCTCTGACTAGATATTGATGAGAGAGAAACAAAGTGAAATACAAGTCTGGGACAGCTGATAAACCTAAAAAATGCACTACAGACAGGGGGCTGGATAGATGCTCAGTGGTTAAGAGCACTTGCAGAGGGCCTGGGTTTGGTTCCCAGCACCCACATGGCAGCTAACTGTCCATTACCAGGGGATCCAATATCCTCTTCTGGTCCCTGTGGGCAATGCATGACGTGGGCATACTTACTTGTAGGGCAAACACTCATTCGTATAAAATATAAAATTTTAAAAATCAATAATTACAGATATGAAACATGAAAATGTTGAAATATCTTGTTTTGGGTAATTGTACTGGGAGTCAAACAGATGGCTTAGAGCTTAAGAGCACTGGCTCTTGCAGAGGACTGGGTTTCAGATCCCAGCACCCACACGATAGCTAACAACTGCCTGTAACTCCAGTTTCAGGGGATCTTTTGACCTGTGCAGGCATTGCACACATAAGTGTACTTAAATACATGCAGGCAAAACACTCATACACAATACAGTCACAAGTACATACAATTTTAACAGCAGTTTAAAAAAGATAAATCATGGGCAGTTGATAATTTCTTTTTCAACACATTATACAGTGTTGGAAAGGTAGCTTAACAGTTCTGAACCTTAATTTACCTACTAGTAGCTATGAAGAGGAGTTAGATCAGATCAGCATATTCCAAATTTCCATTCGTGTATCACCTTCAAGTCTGTATCACATCTGGTTGGAATGTGTGCTCTCCACCATTCATGTAAAAGCTTGGTCCCCAGATGACAGTGCTATTGGGAAGTTAAGTTTAGGAGGTGTGGCCTAGCTGGAGGAAGGAGGTCTGGGCACAGGCCTTTGAAGGATACAGTTTGTCCCTAACTCCTGACACTCACTCTTTCTCAGCTTCTGGGCTGGTGTGAG